TGAGATCACACCAATGGGTGCTGTCCATTCATGATGTTTCTTGTGAATTTTCTTGTACAACGTTGGGTGGTGAAGGAGCCTGGAAAGATAATTCATAGTTGGTAATTGCAAACCTTCCCTTTGCCTCCATCCTGAGATCATCAAAGCAAAGGTTGGAATGAGGTCCACATCTGAGGAGCTGGCATCTACTCCTTGCCCTCCTCTAGTCTGAGTGGACGATGAGTCTGGCTTATGTTGTCTGCCAACCCCAGTGGTGAAGGTAACTGATGCCATAAAGGACTATCAGGAAGTGGATGGGAACTGACCCGATCTCCCAAATAGGGCAGCTCTTCTTTCACCAGGCATTGTGTCAAGTTGGAGATTAAGTTGTGTCTTGAGCAATTTTAGATGTGGGACCTGAGGACAGAGACATTCAGTGGCCTCTGCTGACCAGTGAGCTGTTCTAGGGTGAAGTCAGCTGTGTGCATGTAGAGAACTCACCGATGTGAGTAGTAGAACAAGATTTCCACCACGAGGGTGAAGAGGGCCAGCTCCACGAGGAACCAGTGGAAGGTGGGCAGCTCTCGACAGCAGGGGTCTCCCCTCCACTTGAAGAAAGGGTAGAAGATGACCAGCATGGGAAGAGAGATCATAGTCTGGTTGAAAACAACTGTGCGGATAGACTGACGCAGCTTCACGGGGTCCACCTGCCAGGCGACAGAAGGAATGGAGAAAGGGGACATGTGAAGTAGGTCTCTACCTGACCTGCTCAGGGTGGGCTTCTGGGAGTGACTGGGGTAGTCCACAGTCTGGGGCTGGCCATGGTGAGCTCTATAGTCCTTGCCTGTCCTGGAGAATTCCTCACCAGAGCATAGGCCCTGTGGGCCAGGGTCTGCTACTACTGAGTTCTGGCCTACAGAACACCCAGTGCTCTACAAGGACAATGAAACAAGTACCAGTTAAACGCACAGGAACAGATAAGCAGTGATGATTGCCTTAGCCATCTTGATGAAGGATTTCAGAAGAGGTCTCTGACCTCAGAGCATGCTGGACTGTCCTAGCCACATAAAGGGAATGAGGCATCTCAGCTTGCTCTGCATGTGGCCAATCCAGAGATGCTGAACAGGTGACACACTGGTCCCAGGAGAAAAGGCTAGTGGTCACTTTGCATTGCCTAAGAACTGTCAGCCTCTATCCAGTGCCCTGGTGGCTGCAGGATACCCCCTGGGTATCTGAGAATTAGGACTAGAAAAACTGGAACGAGGCGTCAGCAGAAAGACTAGAAACAATGAGTCATCCAGTGTCTCAAACTTGGAACAGTTTTGGAAAAAGTTATATCTCAAAAGGTGTGTGGATGAGTCTCCTATATTTTTCTTACATTTCTCACTGTTTACAACTTCCTTACTATGGGAATACCAGTTGCTGTAAGCCTAAGAAAATTATATATGTATTTGTGTGTGTGTATGTGTATGTATGTATATATAAACAACTTCCTTACTATTAAATGCTTGGATAAAGAGAGCCAAGAGGAAGGCAGGAGACTGCATAGCCCGTTGTGAGAGGCTACATAGACAGTTCTGAGAATGGCATAGAGGACTGTGAGACAGTGTAGACAGCTCTGTGTGCAGAGAGGACTCTGAGACAGTGTACACAGCTCTGAGAAGCTGCATAAAGGACTCTGAGACAGTGTAGACAGCTCTGAGAAGCTGCATAAAGGACTCTGAGACAGTGTAGACAGCTCTGAGAAGCTGCATAGAGGACTCTGAGACAGTGTACACAGCTCTGAGAAGCTGCATAGAGGACTCTGAGACAGTGTAGACAGCTCTGAGTGCATAGAGGACTCTGAGACAGTGTAGACAGCTCGAGAAGCTGCATAGAGGACTCGGAGACAGTGTAGACAGCTCTGAGTGCACAGTTGGCTCTGTCAGTGAGCGTTGCTTCATGGGGAAGCATAAGAGGAGGTGGTGTGGACTTGGGTTAAGTGGGGCCACGGGCTGGTTTTGGAGAGATGACTCTGATTACCAGCACCGGCTGTTTTTACAGAGCACCCAGTGTGATTCCCAGCATGCATATGGTGCATCAGGAGCCAGGTTAGGAAGGAGGAGATGGGAGAGTGTCTGTGTGGGCAGGCTAGGATGCTAGGAATGCCTGCTCCATCAACTCCCACCTCAGCCTGTTCCTAGGATCCATCGAAAGTCAGCACCTCCCACAGCTAGCCAGGGACTAGACGGTCCCAAGCTCCTTCCTGATGTGTTCTCAGAAAGTCTGAAGCAGAGCTGTGCCAGCCTTGGAGTTTCATGGGTTGAGCTCTGCCTCTTTGGCCTGGAAAGCTGAAACTTGAACAGGTCCCTCACTTCTAGACCTTGTCCTCTGGGAGAAGCCCCCACACTGCCTGCTGCTC